GTGTGTGTGTGTGTGTGTGTGTGTGTGTGTGTGTGTGTGTGTGTGAGTTTGAGCGGTTCTGACTGAACAGATCACAGAGGAAGGTTATCAGTTAGGGATACAGCAGCTTGTCAGAGTGATACATCACATACATTCCTGCACACGACTGCTCCTGGCACCACCATGTAACCACGCACTCTTTATGTTTCTGTCTGTTTACAGACTTGTTTTACCATTTCTGTGAGGACATGGTGGATCCCGTAAATGTAACATTTTTCTTGGTTTTGAGTTGCAACAACAAATAAAATTAGGAGGTTTTGGAATAAATGATTCACTGTTGTAAAACTAGTAAAGAAAGCAGATGCATGAAGTTTGAATTAAAGATTTTGTACTTTTACCTTTAGGAGTATGAAAACCCTAAAAGGCTAATGTTTTTGTTTTTTTTGGTGATCATTTTTTTAAGCCTTCAAAAATAGGAACAGTGTTTTCTGGTGGGGGGGCGCTGGTGGTGTCGGGGGTTCAGTGTAAAGTTTTTGTTGCATGCGTGGGTGTTGTTGCTTTACTCTCCAGCCAGAAGCAAAGTTAAAGTAAACTATTCCTTTAACTTATCTTGCTGCTGCCAATCTGGGCCAAAATAAATAAATAAATAAATAAAGAAAAGAAAAGAAAAAAATAAAACGTTTTCTAATCTCAATAGGATTTTTTTCTGGTAAAATAAGCATTTAATAATAATAATAATAATAATAATAATAATAATAATAATAATAATAATAATAATAATAATAATAATAAAGACATAAGATAAACAGTAAAAGCTTTAGACTCAAACAACTACATCATGTTCTAAATAAAACCAAATGGATTAATGTCCCAAATTTAAATATTTACTGAAATCAAAARATAAATTCTCTGTCTGTTCTGCAACATTACTCTGTCATGTTTTAATTCAGGTTTAAATGGTCACAATTCATCAAACAGGGGGTCTCTGCCCAGAGGAGGTGTGTCTTGTTGTGTGGGAGGAGTTTATCCTAACCATGATTGGTGGAGTTGTTTGTGTGGGTGGGGTTTGATATAAACGTGATTGGCAGAGTGACTGATGTGGGCGGAGTTTGTCCTAACGGTGCTTGGCGAATTGACTTAACTTGTGGGGTAATTTAAAAAAGGAAGTAATGAAGAAAGCAAAATTATTGTAAACATGTAAATATATTTTATTGACGTCTATGTACACTTTAAAACAAAAACAATGGCTCAAATAAAATTTGTTGTGAACATGTAAACAAAAATTATTACCTTCAAWTTTCATGTGGCAAGCACTTTCCTGTCTGAAGTTATACATATCTTTTTACTGGTTAGGGCTGTTTAGACCAAACTGAATTGTTGCATGACCTTCCACACATGGTATTCAAATTGCGTGCAGCTAGCACCTTCCTGTCTCAAGTTATGACTAAAATTAATATTTATATTTAACCTCCTGAGACCCAAGTTTTTCCTGGATGAGCATTTTTTCTTTTTCTAAGATACAAAGGATTAGTAGGAACTAATAAGTATAATAACTAGACCCTGTCATGGTACAGGAAGTGTTTTTGCAAAAAATTGATGTCACTGGGTCTCAAAAATTTACGCTTTTTGAGGAATACCTAAGCAATTATCATGCAAAGCCTGAGAAACACCATGATAGCCTTTCTGGTGGTTCTATTTTCCTTGTTATTTTGACATTACAGCAGCCAGCTGTTGACCAAAGCAAGATTAGTGAAGCAAAAAAGGCCGATGTGGCATCAAAAACTACAAATTGACAAAATTTGACAAAACCAGAAGGAGAACCAGATGAAAATGCACAATGCTGGACTGAAGAGGTGTTAGAACTGAGTCTGTATACAGACAGGGGCTGATGAGCAGAGTGGAAACACCTTGGCTTTGTGACAACCAGGAACAGGTGATAGTGGGTGGAGCTTAAACTTTCTGCACCAAGACCCAAAAAGCTCTGGTAGACCTGTTATATGAAACTATAAATGTAACGAGGTAAGGGGGATTGGATCCGGGTAGCAGACATCACAGAGAACAAGATAAAAGGAAAATAAAACATTTTGATAACAAACAAAAGGCTGGCTGTGCAGCAAAACTTACAAACACAAAGTCAGGCGATGACACAGAAGATGACTCTGGTGAAAATGACTCAWTGATCTGGAAAGTAGGTGGAGTGAGGAGACTGGTTAAATGGATCAGAGGTGAGTGATTACTGAGCGGGGACAGGTGTGAGTGGTGAACACAGAGAGCAGGAAGCACGAGGATAACAAAGAACACAGAAAAACACAAACTGTGACAAATATAAAGGAATGAATATTACTGAGAGATGTGGAGATAAAACTGTTATCATCCATCCATCCATTTTCTTCCGCCTATCCGGGGTCGGGTCGCGGGGGCAGCAGCTTCAGAAGGGAGGCCCAGACCTCCCTCTCCCCAGCCACTT